TAGTATATATGTAAAAGAAAAAGGTTTTACAAGAAAAAACAAAAAAAAAGAGGCTCGTACAGCCTTGGAAAAATCATGTGTGTTTGTGTGGCTTGAAAAAAAGTAGAAGAAAGGAGAGTCAGAGAAAATTGAGGGACTGTTAAAACTATTGAAATAAAAAGTTAAGTAAAAGTGTGATTGGACAAAACTTGGTTGTTGGCCTATCCCAGCGGACAGACCGTTGCTATATTGATAGGTCCTGGCATGGAGCGGAGGCTAGAAATGGACACGAATGGATTGTTTACTATGGAGGAAGAATGATGCATTTAGGACTAAAAGGCTCGCGTAGAAGTCTTTTCCCCCTTCATGCGGAACTAGAGACTCTCTTGTGGATGATGAAGTGCTTATTAGCGCTCCCTATGACGAGCATCCTCATTCTGACGGATTGTTTGGATCTTTAGAGATGACTTCTAACCCCGAGGAGTGGCCTACTTTTTCTACAGAATTGATGGATTTTGAGTATTACAGGGCTACTTTTAGTTAGGCATATCCCTCGTAGTGGTAATACTTCCGATGATCATCTTGCGAAATGTGCAAGAGGTCGCGGCATCTGTTTTTCTCATGTAAGTTCGACGGTATCCGATTGACTCTCTCTAGAAAATAGTCATTTTCCGTGAATTAATATATGGTGTTTGATTGGCAAAAAAAAAATGTAGTAAAAGTCTTTACATCATATCGTCAATCACCCATCTTGATTTTGGTTTTCATCCTAGAGTTTACAAGTTTTCCATTAGTGATTATGGTGATAAAATATAAAATTCGATGAGAAATGGTCTCATATAGCCCTAAATGAAGTTTTTGTGACAAAAATAGCATCCCCAAGTTTATTTGACAAAAATAGCACTCATTTACCTTATTTTTTATTTTTAAGAATTAATTAAATTAATAAATTAAAATAGAAAATAAACATTAAACACATTCGACGGAGAAGCTTACGATTGTTGTTTCCTCTGAAGCTTTCAATCTCCAATCTTCAATTCCGGTAAAGCTTCCAATCTCCGATCTTCAATTCCGTTGAAGCTTCCGATCTTAGAGCTTCAATCAGAGAGTTAATTTCTGGGATTCACGGCGAAATCATGGGTATGTGATTGTAGCTTTGGATTTGTAACTCCTCCATTGCATTTAATTAGACGTCTATGATTGTAGCTCTGGATATGGTTTGATGTCGATTGGTAACTCCTGCATTTGATTAGAGGTTTGTGATTGTAGATCTGGATTTGGTTCGATGTGGATGTATTTCTGGGTTTGTAGCTCCTAAAATTGATCAACGTTGTGATTTTGCTCTAGATTTGATTAGCTTGTGAGTGTAGCTCTCGCTTTGATTGGATGTGGATATAGTTCTAGATTTGATTAGCTCCTCCATTTGATTAGCTCTCGATTTGAACTCTTTTAGTGATTAGTTCTTGATTAATAGCTCTTGGATTTGATTGTTGCTCTCGAGTTTCTAGTTTACTATAAGTGTTATTTAATTTGTTCCTCAATCATAGCTAACAATACAATCCATGATTTCCTTTGTCTAATAACAGACTACAACTATTTTATTTTACAGAGTCTACAGAGCTTATTAGAAGCACCAAGTTTTGCCCAATTGGGATATTATAATCATTTGTATTCCACCCATGGATTGTACAGACATTACAGGAATGTTGTTGTCTTTTGCAGCTAATCTTGTTGTCTCTTTGGATTTTTTTTTAGTTTGATTTTGCATTAGAAATCTTGTTGGCTGCACATGAAAAGTAGAAGGTAAAAACTCATTTTCATAGGTTTTAGGAAAGATACGTGTATTTTAGGATGGCCTCCCTAAATAATGCAATATACAGATATGATGCTTTCTAGTCATGTGTTTTCAATTTTAACTCTCTGTCTATTTTCCTGTCTATGTTTTTTGCTTGTAGGTACTTCATCCATCAGTCGGAACTTCTTCTATCTGTGTTGTACATGGAATAGAGCAGGATGCTCATTTGTATATGTTTTAGGAAGGGCACATACATATTTAGGATGACTTTCCTAAAACATATTCAGGATGCTCATTTGTAAGATATTCACGAATGAGAAGCTTTGTTTACTGGTGAAATGTTTTGTTACAATAACAATAGGTCTTGGGTTCAAGTAGTGGTTGAATTTATTTATTTTTTGTGGTTTTTTCTATATTTTATGAAGGCCTTCCTGAATTTGATAGGTTCTTTCCTGAATTATTCGACAATCCTTCTTGAATTTTTCACAGATGATCTCAAAAAGCCATTACATTGTCTAATAGAAACATATGATACTTTTCTAGCTTAGAACCATCATACAAGTACCAAAACAGTCTAAAACGGTTTCACAAGCAGCATACATATAATTAAAGAAACATAGTCCTAAGAAATGTTAACACACTCGTTGAAGATATCGATAGCCAACTTGTTTCTGATGTCTTATGAATCTTGATCACATAGTTTGGAGAAATCTTCAATCCTCATCGAGTGGCATTGAATCATTGCAACTTCTTCTATCACGGCTCCTACATCAAGTGTTCTTTTTGTCCAATCTTCAGATTTCATTTTGTAACCTTTACCTAGAAGCTCGACCAGCAGACTTAATTCTGGATCATCTTCGTCTTCCAATGAAAATTTATCTTCAGGATCATCAGGTATTGAAGGTAAGATGCAAAATACATTCAGCTGCACAAAAACAAACACATTCAGCAGACTTAATACATTCAATTACATATTTTAGGAAGACCATCCCGAATTACAATAAATCCTTCCCAAATCAGGAAGGTCATCCCGAATTACTATAAATCCTTCCCAAATCAGGAAGGCCATCCCGAATTACTATAAATCTTTCCCAAAACTAGTTTAAACCATAAAAAGAAGAGACTGAATTTACATGATTAGATGCTTCAATATTCTGTATTTGAGAAAGTTGCGGTGATGGTAATCTCGTGTATTTCTCACACAAGAATGCAGTCGGCTTCTCTATTAAACTGATTCGGCTGTAGGCTGTTTGTAGCAGCAGAAAAAAACTAAATCTAGTAGATAAGTTCCACAGATTCATAAGAACATCCGCCATTTGAAACATCAACCCCAAATTCAGATATACATAAAGATTATAAAACTGCAACATGAATGTATTGTAAAACGTTTTTGCTCCAAAATACTACAATTACCATATGATAGTAATAATAAATATCTTAAAAGCAACACAGAAGCACAGAAGATTTTCGGGAAGGCTATCCTGAATACTTAGCAACACAAAATCACAGATTTCTGTACCTTCAAACTTTCAATGACAATGGAAGCTAACATAGCAAGCTTATGAATTCATATAATAGTGTCTATAAATCACAGAATGACGGTAGCTTCTGTATTCATACATCTATAGATTCATTAAGTGCAAGGAGCTTAATTAAGAACATTTTGTTTGGTTATAAATAGAGCAGAGAAACAACACAAACCATACCAACGATTAGAAAATCTTCCAATGGAATCAAAAATCACAAATATTATAGAGAATCATTTCTTAATTTCAGCCAAAGAGAGAACAATAAAGCCTCAAATTCATTTCTAGTACTCAATCATTTCTTAATTTCAGCAATCTAGAGAACAAAAGAATGTACTATGAATTAAACATATCATGCAAGTACACCATTTTCATCAACAATGTTTGAAATACAAGTATCCTAAAATCGATTCACTTATAGCAAAGCCCTATGTCACAAATCGCAGTGAAAATGACAGTGATCTAATCATTGTCCCCAATGACAAAAAACTTCACCCTAAATCGGAATAGAATTTCACCGATTATCTTTCAGCATTTGTTGAATCGAAGCAAGTGAATGAAAGGACTACAGAAACTCGCCGGAGAAGAATTGGAGAGTGAGGGAAATTACACAAACTCACCGGAGAAGAATGAATCCGACAAAGTCTTCGAATCTCCGGTGAAGAAATCAGATCCGGTGACCGACGGAGTCGTCGAGGGCGAGGTCGACGGCGAAAGTCGAGGTCGACGGCGAAAGTCGAGGTCGACGGCGAAAGTCGAGGTCGACGGCGAAGCTGGAGGTCGACGGAGTCGTCAAGCTTTTCGAAGGTGAAGTTTGTTGGAAGCGAAGCCGTCGGGTTTGGAAGAAATGAAATTAGGTTTTGTGTATTTTCTGTTTTAATTAATTAGAGGATTAAAAACTTTGTGTGCTATTTTTGGAAGTTTCAAAAGAAAGTGCCATTTTTGGAATAATAAACCTTTTTAGTGCCATTTGTGTAAATTGCCCAAATTCGATTATAGATTTACAAGTTATCAGATACTTTAGTCACTTGATTATTCATCGATCTGACTAGCCTAATTCTCTACCAAACGTCTCTCATATCACTTAATTCGATTATTATCTCAATACTCTGCTAAATCCTCAATCATCCTTCTTTCTAGTCATGTACTAAACTAAAAAGGTAATTTTAAAGCATAATAAAGTACAAGAAAAGTTGGATCCCTAGTTGTAAACAAACATACATTTTACAAAAAAAAAAAAAAAAGCACTTGAGAAAAAGTGAGTCAATGAGGAGGATACACGTCTGATTTAGCTGTAATGCTGGTACGTCCAAAGAAAACTCACCGTCCTACCACATCACTAAACAACTACGAAATTTCCATCTTATTGTCTTTATCAATTATTATTATATTCACTTTAATTTCTTATTTTAATTACAAAAAAAAAAGTTCAAGAAAGAATAAAGAAAAAGTAAATTGCAACTTATTCATATATTCGACAGTGACGAAAAAGAAACCCAGAAGAAAAAAAGAAATATCTCTCTCTTGAAAATTCTCCTTTTGCAAAAATCATTCAAGTGAAGCAGAATCATCTTCTTCTCCAGCTTCATCAATCTCTTTGTTACTGGAAAATTTGTTTTGATCGGAAGGATCTGATTTAGTTTCTATGTCTTCGATGTCGCTGTCGAAGCAGATTCCCGTTTACTCTCGATGACCTCTGCATCTTCTTCCACTTTTTTCCCCAGTTTTCTGATAACTTTTCTCAGATGAGAAGTTCCAAGTTACTTCTTCTCAAGTTCTTCTTCGTCTTCTTCATTTTGACTTCGATTGGTACAGTATCTTTCTATTGTTAAAAATAATTTCTAGGTTAAGTCTTATTTGAATTCTACTAGGATGTTTGGTTTTGCTAATTTCGATGTTCTGATTTGAATTTCTGGGTTTTTCTGATGAAATTGTTACTATTAGTGGTAGTCTCATAGATTCTGCAGATTCTTATTTGATTTTTTTGTTTTCTCTGTAGAGTTTCAAGTGGATGGAGCATTTGTTGGAACCTATGGGATAAATTATGGAAGGATTGCGGATAACATACCGTCTCCGGAAAAAGTAGTTTTACTTCTAAAGCAAGCTAAAATTCGAAATGTGCGTATATACGATGCAGATCACACTGTCCTTGAAGCTTTTAGTGGAACTGGTTTAGACCTTGTGGTTGGACTTCCAAATGGGTTTTTAAAAGAGATGAGTTCGAATGCTGATCATGCTTTCTCTTGGGTTAAAGAAAATGTTCAGTCTTTCTTACCCAAGACTCGGATTCGTGGAATTGCGATTGGGAATGAAGTTCTTGGAGGCGGTGATTCTGAGCTCGCGGGAGCTTTACTTGGTGCAGCGAAAAATGTGTACAATGCGTTGAAGAAAATGAATCTGGAGGACACGGTGCAGATCACCACGGCTCATTCACAGGCTGTGTTTTCTGATTCATACCCGCCATCGTCTTGTGTGTTTAAAGAGAATGTTGTTCAGTTCATGAAGCCACTGTTGGAGTTTTTTCAGCAGATTGACTCTCCTTTTTGTTTGAATGCGTACCCTTTTTTGGCGTATACTTATAATCCGAAGGAGATTGATATCAACTATGCTCTTTTCAAGCCAACTGAAGGCATATATGACCCGAAAACTGATCTACATTATGATAACATGCTTGATGCTCAGATCGATGCTGCCTACATGGCCCTGCAAGATGCTGGGTTCAAGAAGATGGAGGTTATGATCACTGAAACTGGGTGGGCTTCTAAAGGGGATTCAGATGAACCTGCAGCAACACCGGAGAACGCAAGAACCTATAACTATAACCTCAGGAAGAGGCTTGCAAAGAAGAAAGGGACACCTCTTAGACCAAAAACGGTGCTCAAAGCCTATATCTTTGCATTGTTCAATGAAAACTCAAAACCGGGCAAGAGTTCTGAGACACACTTTGGACTTTTTAAACCTGATGGAACCATATCATATGACATTGGATTCAATAGTCTGAAGTCTGATGCTCCCAAGTCACTCATTTCATCATCAAAGGTATGAATTCTGTGATTAAGGAGGTCGTAGTATACTTGTAATGACCATATCCATTATGTATGATATTTTGCTCGTTGAATCTCATTTCCGACTTTGTAGTTTGTATTCAGACTCAGGGTATGCATAGTGACCATCGGATGTATAAATATCTTCTGCGTTTTGTTTCAGGCAGCTTGTTACTATGTGGCATTGATCATCTCTGTCTCGGCTTTCCTCTTGATGATATAAATGTGGAAATGGTGTGAGCTTTGACGATAGGATCCTCGGATTTGGTCATACATTCGTAGCAATATAATATATTAATACTAGGGTTGAGAGGCTAACGAAATGGTAGGGGCACAAATTTACTGCAATTCTCATACATGTAGCCAAGAGATATCCAGGAAAGATATCACCAGACACTCTCATATATACACATCTATTGTAAAACAAATCTAATACATAAATTTGGGTCTCTGCTTAGTTTTTGTTGATACGGATACTGGGGAAATTAAAGGATATCGAGGGATTATGGATATTGTGTTTCTCATTAGTCTACACGATTTACATCGGTTTCAGATTATGAAATCATATTCAAATCTTTCACAATCTGACAAGCCTCTAGGTTCTGCGTCATTTTTGTGTAATACAAGACTGGTTTTGTGGAGGTAGTGTAGAGGATAAAAATAGGTGTGTCAATGAGAGTGTCGTAAATAGTGTTGGGGTAAAAAAGATCCTAATGGTTTGGGTTTTCAGTTATGGAGAGTCTTCAGCCTAAAGAGAAGCGCATCTTCATTAGCCTATTATTCTCTCTCCCTCCAAACACAAACATACAAATTCCGCAATGCTCATAACGACAAAATTCAAAAAATGTGGTCCTCCTCTGACTGTATTCTTCCCGGACCACCGAGCCGAAGCAACCTATCGGCTGCTGACCTGAGCCCTTCCGGCCTATTGGCATTTGCCTCTGGTTCTTCTGTCTCTCTTGTCGACACGCGCTCTCTCCAGCTCATTTCCTCCGTCTCTCTCCCGTCTCCCATCTCTTGTGCATTTTCTACGGTCACCTCCGTTCGTTGGGCTCCTGTCCCTGTCCAGCGTGATCTCTTCTCCTCTGATCTCCTTATCGCTGTGGGTGATCACCTCGGCCGCATTGCTCTCGTTGACTTCCGCCTGCGTTCTGTTCGTCTATGGCTTGAACAAAGTTGTGACAGTGCTAGTGCTAGAGGAAAGATCCTTGGTTGTGGTGGCGTACAGGACCTCTGTTGGGTATTGGCTCGGCCAGAATCCTACGTCCTCGCTGCCATTTCCGGTCCGTCTTCTCTCTCGCTCTACACGGATTCAGGACAATTATTCTGGAAGTACGACGCATCGCCTGAGTTTTTATCATGCATTCGGTGTGACCCCTTTGATTCCCGCCATTTTTGTGTCCTTGGCCTCAAAGGGTTTTTACTCTCTTTGAAACTTCTTGGGATAACTGAGAATGACGTCCCTACGAAGGAGTTTCAAATCCAAACAGATTGCAGCGATCTACAGAAGCTAGAAGGGGAAGGTGTTGCTACCAGTAGCCACTCAACGTCTCCTGCATCAACCGTTTTTCCTCTCTATTCCGCAAAATTCTCTTTCTCACCGCATTGGAAACACATCCTCTTCGCCACCTTTCCCAGAGAGCTTGTCGTGTTTGATTTAAAGTATGAAACAGCCCTCTACGTAGTAGCATTACCTCGTGGTTACGCCAAGTTTGTAGATGTTTTGCCTGACCCAAGCCAGGAGTTTCTATACTGCCTTCACCTTGATGGCAGGCTCAGCATTTGGCGACGAAAAGAGTGCGCCATGAAGTTCTCTTCTCATCTTTGTTCCTCTCTGTTGTCTTTTCTTAATGCATTCTGTTTTTTTTTTTTTTTCTTGCTTTTGCAGAGGGGAACAGGTCCATGTCTTATGTGGACTCGAAGAGTTGATGCCAACGATTGGTAATTCTGTACCATCACCATCTCTTCTCACTCTTCTAATCTCCCAATTGGACTCAACCTTCCAGAATATGAGGACTAGCCATTCAGATGCTCTTTTGGATAATTCAGAGCTTGAGATTTCTTTTGATTTCAACAACGATGCTTTTCTTCGTTTCAAAACACATTTCATATCTATATCTGATGATGGTAAAATATGGAGTTGGATCTTGACTTTCAATGGAGATGAGGATTGTAATCCTCAGACTAATGACGAGCTGCTAGAGAGCGCAACTAATGGCAATCAAGATCTCCCTCCTAATATATCTTTCGAGGTCTATGATGGAATTGAAACCTTCTTTGCTTATCTTTCCCCTTCCTTATTTATCTGTTCATATAAAACTCATGATACAGATCACATTAGTTGGACAACTTCAGCTTCTCTCGTCCATAGTGACTGTACTTGCGGTACCAACGCCTTCCATGACCGCAACATTGGCTCGTGAGTTGCATCGACAACTTGTGAATTTTAATATTAAAAAAAAAAATGAAAATCTCAAGCTCATGGATAAGAATGCATTGTATGAAGGTGGAGGGAATTTTCCTGCTGTAGTAGTTCCTCTTGTAGCTTTAGGAACCGAAGCTGGCACAATTGATGTTGTTGATGTGTCTGCAAACGCAGTGGCAGCAAGTTTCTCTGCACACACCAGTAGTATAAGGGGTTTAAATTGGCTAGGAAATTCGAGACTTGTTTCGTTCTCTTGTAGTCGGGTAAAGAAAAATTCATTCCATAAGATCCTTAATAGTCTTTGTTTGATTTTCCACTACATGAACACGGTAATGTTGCTTTGGTGGTATCAGGTGAGTAAACGAACAGGTGGATATATTAATAAGCTCGTCGTCACATGTCTTAGGAGTGGCGTCAGTAGAGGCTTTCGAGTTTTGCAAAAGCCAGAGCGAGCTCCTATAAGAGCTCTGAGAGCTTCATCTTCTGGGAGGTTGGTCTCTTTATTTTTTCTAAGGCTTCACCAAGAGATAAAAAGAGTCTTTCACATCTTGTTTTCAGGTATCTTCTTATTTTGTTCCGTGATGCTCCAGTAGAAGTATGGGCAATGACTAAAAGCCCTGTGATGGTAAGTTAGGTTATTACAAGTGATGGAAATACTCAAGAAAATTATGATGAAATGGGTTTGTAATTATTACTATGACTTGTACTTTGATGTAGCTTAGATCACTAGCTCTCCCTTTCACAGTTCTGGAATGGACTCTCCCAACTATTCCAAGCTTAGCTCAAAAGAGTCTTTCAAAGCAGCCTTCAATGTCTTCTAACCAGGAAACAAATGGCACACCAGATGACATTGGAACTCCTAAAGCATCAGATTGTAGTAAGCGACTTTCTATAACAATGTAATCATCTTACCTTGAAACATATGACAAAAGCATTTCTTTCTAACAGAAGCTGTAGCTGCTGATGTACTCCAAGATGATGCTTCTGAAAGTTTTGCATTTGCACTGGTAAATGGTGCACTTGGCGTATTTGAGGTGTACGGACGAAGAATTCGAGATTTCAGGTTGCTTTTCAGGGAAACATCCTCATAGTTTTTTATTTTATTTTTTCATACTCTAACATGTTAATTCCAATTATTTTGTTAGACCGACATGGCCAACATCTTCTTTCATCTCTTCTGATGGGTTAATAACTGCTATGGCCTATCGCTTACCTCATGTTGTATGTACTATGCCTCTTGATGTTATCTCTGGCTGTTTTTGAGAAATATCTTAGAAATCACTTAACAGGTTACAGGTGACAAGTTAGGGAACATACGGTGGTGGGATGTAGCATCCGGTAACTCCTCTTCATTTAACACCTGCAAAGAAGGAATAAAGAAGATCAAATTTTCACCTGTCTTTGCTGGTGATATTAGCAGAGGACGAATTACAGTGCTATTTTATGACAACACATTCTCCATCTACGATCTCGTAAGATTTCTTGTAACTTCTAGACGTTGGTATAAGAGGTCTCATATTCATAAGTCATACCAATGGTCTAGTTAGGCCTTTTTCACATAGCTTTACTGGTGTTTTTTATAAACAAGTTTGTCATTCCATAGTAAGCCATGGACTTTGTATCTTTATTACAGGATTCACCAGATCCTTTGGCCATTTCTCTTATGAGGCCTCAAATTCCGGGCACACTTATACTTGAACTTGATTGGCTGCCTCTGCGAACTAGCAAATTTGACTCGCTTGTGTTGTGCGTTGCTGGAACTGATGGTAGTTTTCGCCTGGTGGAGGTTCATGTGTAAGTGATGTATATTATTCCCAGTGTATAACTTTTACAATAGATTGTGAAGTTAGAGGAGAACCCTCTTGATGCTCCTTAATCTAATCCATACAGAGATGAAAAAATGACAGCCCAAATATCCTACACAAAACCTCCCAAGGAAAAATTTCGACCTGTGCCTTTATGCACTCCTATGTTACTCCCCACACCACATGCCCTGGTAAGGTTATCAACTTATGTTTGGTTTTGAGCTGATGAGAAAGTACTTCTTTAGCTTACAGTCTATTTGTAGGCGCTACGGATGATCTTGCAGCTTGGCGTAAAGCCATCTTGGTTCAACACTACTAGTACATGTATCGACAAACGACCACATTCTATTCCAGGAAGAACTTCATCTTCTAAGGATCTTCGCAGTTTCATGATTGATTTCCCACCAATCGGTGACCCTGCAGTGCTGGAAATGTTTCTTAAAGTTTTAGAACCATATCGCTCAGAAGGTTGCGTTTCATTGTTATTTCTTCTGCATAAAACATTTTGTATGCCTTTTCATGTGAATGATGTTTTCTCTCTTTTTTTTTTTCTGGTAAAAACGTTCTAAATGATGATGGATAAAGGCTGTCTTCTCGATGATGAGAAAGCAAAATTATATTCCAGTCTAGTTAATAAGAGTTGTGCTGCAAGATTTGCTTTCGCGGCTGCAATTTTTGGAGAAACTTCTGAGGCACTTTTCTGGCTACAACTGCCTTATGCCATGAAACATGTAGTCAACAAAACAGCAACTAAGTCTTCGAAGAAGCATTTTGAGGAGACAGCTACGCTATGTAAAACTTCATCAAAGGGGCCATCATCTACAGGATTTGAGAAGAATGGTTCTCTGGTAAGTCGTACTGTGGAATAAACTAGAAATTGAATACCTTTTGTATTGAACCCTTATGAATCTTATAGAGTGAAGGTCAGCTAAGACTAATGGCTTTTGAACAAAAAGATTTATGGGTATGCGCTAATGAGCGAATCCCGTGGCATGAGAAACTGGAAGGGGAAGAGGCCATTCAGAACCGAGTACACGAGTTAGTCCTCATCCCGTTCCGGACTAACATTTTATACTTGAAGATTTGAGGCTAACATATTTTGTGCTTTTGATGAGCAGACTTGTATCAGTTGGAAACTTGGAAGGTGCAGTGAGTCTGTTACTCTCCACTTCTCCAGATAGCACTTATTTCTATCCAAATGCGCTACGTGCTGTTGCTTTATCTTCCACCGTGTCAAAATCCCTCGTTGAGCTAGCGGTGAAGGTAGTAAGATGCCATATTTCATCTCTGCATGGTGAATCACAGAACCTGACTTTTTTCCTTGACATTATTTCCATATGAAGGTAGTTGCAGCCAACATGGTAAGGTCAGACAGGTCACTTTCTGGAACTCATCTTCTATGTTCAGTAGGAAGATACCAAGAAGCTTGCTCACAGGTTAGGTTTTGCTTAAAACTTTTTAGGGAAAATCTTAACGAGGTTTCAGATCCCAAGATTTGCTTAATGTGTGAGTCTCTGCAGTTACAAGATGCTGGTTGCTGGACGGATTCTGCAACATTGGCAGCAACACATTTAAATGGATCTGACTATGCGAGGTGTGTCATGTAATCTTTATCTATATCAATGGTGATGTTGGTAATCAAATCAAATAACTCTTTACTTGAAACTTAGGGTGTTGCAAAGGTGGGCGGGGCACGTCGTGAACATTGAACACAACCTCTGGAGGTATTATATATAATGTATTCCATAGAAATGAGGATACAAGTAATCTTAATATGAATTTTGGAATTTCAGGGGTGTGATACTATATGTAGCGGTAGGAGCGTTTGAGGAAGCTTTAGCAGTATTTCGCAAAGCTGAGCGGCCAGAGACTGCAGCTATTTTCATTATGGCTTGCCGAGAAACTCTAGCAGAGAGTTGGAGCATTGATTCAGAGAATGAAGATGTGATGGCAGTTACTGAAAGCTATGCGTTGTATCAGAGGAAGCTGGTGCATCTATGCATGGATTCACCTCCATCTTTTCACTGACATCTTGTGCAATTGACTACCTGTGTATACTATATTATACAAGGTCAGTCCTTAACTAGTTATCTTATTTAGCAATCGTTTATGTTTGAAAGAAAATGAGCTAAAGCTTACCTTTTGTTAGATCCATGACTTCTTATGTTTGCATGTTTATATTATCTAATGCTTTAGCCAAAAAACAGTAAGTTGGAAGGGTTTCCAAACTTAAAGCCAAAATTTTGGAGATAGAAACTATACAGAAAATCAGTAGAAAAGGAGCTACAAGTCTTCAACGCTGAGACAAACAAAGAGTATATCAAAACCAAGAGCCAAACTTCACTTCTGTTGCAAAACAAACCTATTCAAATTGCTACGATATACTATTCGATTAACCAATGAACCTCTCCAAGAATGTACTACTTAAAGACAAGAATGTACTACTTAAGATAATACCAGTACTAACCTGAGTTTCTTTCTAAAGAAGACTGTCTTAACAATGCGAGAGGTAGATTGAGACTGAAGCTGTGAAGCTACCATCAGTCACTGCAAGGATCATTCGTTTATGATTACTAACCACAACTTGTAGGATAAAACAAGATACTAAATCCAGGAATAGGGTTTGGAAAATTAAGTTGAACTTACTGCTTTTTTCAGTCTACTCTGCCTTGAAAACAATCAGACTGTTTGTTCAGTTGTTGTTCTGATCACCGGAAGAAAGACTCAGTTCAAGTTCTTTGGAACAGAAGAAGCTAATTTGTATCAAAACAAGACCATTTAAGGGGAAAAAAAAGCATTATACTCATCTTTTACTTCAAGAACTCAGTTCAAGTTATATGGAAACAGAAGAAGGCAATTATATCAAAAGTCAAAACAAGACCGTTTATTAAAAAAAAAAACTAAAAAGGCACTATACACATCTTTTACTTCAAGTTTTTCTTTTTTTTTGGTACAAACTTTTTTTTTTACTTCAAGTTCTCAGTTCTTTTACAGAGATACATACTCCAATTTCTATCACAACAAAACTATTTTGAAACAATCTGAGTGATAAAAAGTTTAAGGCCCAGAAACAAAAACAAAACCACGAATTGAGAAACACTTAAATCTGACAAAACAAAAACTAAGTAAATGGTCAGTAGATCAAATTCGAGCATCAACAAGAGCTCGAAGCCCTAATCGCAGAACTCTTTCCCGACAAATCAGAGAGGAAATGACAGCATCGAATCCTACGAAGATCGAAGAGGAGAACCCTGCATCTCGACGAAACCATATTTGGTGGAAAAGCTAAGTGGGTTTAGAGACTTTGGTTAGATTCGAATTACTAAATTCGTTTGGTTTACACATTTGAGTTGGCTCAATTTGATGAGATTCTAATTACTAAATTTGATTGGTTTACATTAGGCATGGACATTACGGTTTAACTTCGGGTTCGGTTCGGTTCGATTCAAAAAATCAATGTAACAAAAAAAAATATTTTAGTTCATTATCGTTTAAACTTTGAATTTGATAATATATTAAAGTAAGCAAAAAATTCAAGTTTTAAGTTTAAATTGAATAATTCAAATAATCCATAAAAATTACATATTTAATTATTTACAGTATTATTAATATAATTAATTAATTAGATAAACACATTGCATTATCAAACCGAAAGAAATATAACCAAATGGTTTTGAGTCTAAACTTGGGTTTTGCTTGGGTCGGTTTGAGTTTGGTTAGTTCGGATCGGATCGGTTCTCTTAAAATGTCAACCCTAGTTTACACATTTGAGTTAATTCAATTGATAAGATTCGAATTGTAAACTGTATCATTTACTATTCCTCTAGATTTAGACCATAAATTTCTTTTTTTCTAAAATTCGAAATCGATTAAAAATTTGATGATTTTTTGTAGATCCGAATAAAGTTGAGGAATTTTAAAATGTTTGTTGTCAACCTCTAGTGTTTCTAAAATATCAAAACAGTTAACGACAGCTACTGCGACAACTGTGCAGTGAGAAAAAACCAAAAAAAAAAAACAAAAACCAACTAGTTCCCCTCTTTCTCTATCTCTCTTCTTCTCGGTTTCTCCGTAAGCAATCAGAGTTCTGCAAGTAAGGTTAGTCTCTGTTTCTTTTTCTCAATAATCTAAATGCTTCAAAAAAAAACATGAAACTGAATCGAATCTAGGTCTTGTAAATGCATTTTGAATTGTGTCTCTTTCCATTAAATCTTGATTATAATCTAGTAATTGATTTAGAACTGGTTTGGGTTTTTAGCTTCTGATTTAGGTTTTTAGTGGAACTGGTTTTGTTATAAAATGTTTATATCGTTGGAATTTTGATATATCAAACTGAAATGTAACATTTTGATTTGTCAAGGCAGAGAAAGCTATGGATGTTGAGCATAAGAAGCCGTTGATCGAATCATCGGATCGTAACCTTCCTGATTTCAAAAAATCAGTGAAGCTTAAGTATGTGAAGCTTGGTTATCATTACCTTATCACACATGGAATGTACCTCTTCCTCTCCCCATTGGTGCTTGTAATCGCTGCGCAGATTTCGACATTCTCTATCAGCGATATTCGCAACCTCTGGGAGCATCTTCAGTACAATCTTATCTCAGTGATTGTTTGTTCTATGCTTCTTGTGTTTTTAATGACTATTTACTTCATGACTCGGCCGCGTCCTGTGTACTTGGTGGACTTCTCGTGCTTTAAACCCGATGAGTCCCGTAAATGCACTAAAAAGATCTTTATGGATCGTTCTAAACTCACTGGTTCTTTCACAGAGGAGAATCTTGAGTTCCAGCGCAAGATTCTACAACGTTCGGGGCTCGGGGAATCTACTTATTTACCTGAGGCTGTTCTCAATGTTCCTCCAAACCCGTGTATGAAAGAAGCTCGAAAAGAGGCGGAGACTGTGATGTTTGGAGCTATTGATGAACTTCTTGCCAAGACGAATGTGAACCCGAAGGATATTGGGATCTTGATTGTTAACTGTAGTTTGTTTAACCCGACACCTTCGTTATCTGCTATGGTTGTTAATCACTATAAGCTCCGCGGGAACATACTTAGCTACAACTTGGGAGGAATGGGTTGCAGTGCTGGTTTGATCTCAATTGATCTTGCTAAACATCTTCTTCACTCCATTCCCAACACTTATGCAATGGTGATTAGCATGGAGAATATTACATTGAACTGGTATTTCGGGAATGACCGGTCAAAGCTTGTTTCCAATTGTCTTTTTAGAATGGGAGGTGCAGCGATTCTTCTCTCTAACAAACGATGGGACAGAAGAAGATCGAAATACGTGCTTGTTGATACGGTTAGAACCCACAAGGGAGCTGACGATAAGTGCTTTGGTTGCATTACTCAAGAAGAGGATTCCGCAAGTAAGATTGGTGTTACCCTGTCGAAAGAACTAATGGCTGTTGCTGGTGATGCTCTAAAGACAAACATCACAACGTTAGGACCACTGGTTCTGCCGACATCTGAACAGCTTCTATTCTTTGCAACATTAGTGGGACGAAAACTCTTCAAGATGAAGATCAAGCCATACATCCCAGACTTCAAACTAGCGTTTGAGCATTTCTGCATCCACGCGGGAGGAAGAGCTGTTCTTGACGAATTGGAGAAGAACTTGAAACTCACAGATTGGCACATGGAACCCTCAAGAATGACACTCTACCGTTTTGGTAACACATCCAGTTCTTCTTTGTGGTATGAATTAGCATATAGTGAGGCAAAAGGAAGGATCAAGAAAGGCGATAGAATTTGGCAGATAGCTTTTGGTTCTGGTTTCAAGTGCAACAGCTCGGTTTGGCGAGCGGTAAGGTCGGTCAACCCTAAGAAAGAGAAGAACCCATGGATGGATGAAATTCATGAGTTCCCAGTTGATGTCCCCAAGGTCTCAACAATCTAGAAACCATCAGCAATTTTTCACAAGAGGTTCTTGAGTTTTCAGCTTTTGATATTTTGTGTCTGTTCGGTTTTGTGTCTTCCTAATGAATTTTCCTTGTTCTTGGTTGGTTATCAGATACACCAAACTGGTTAACAATTTTTTCTTCTTTTTTGCGGTGAACATTTGTTCTTCTTTTTGGCGGAAAAACATGTTGTAGACCGTAGCAGACCGTCAATGGTCGGTCCAGCTTGTGTTTTTGGTTGTTGTGCCTGCATATATGTCCTTGAAGCATTCTTTATTGAGGGTCTTTTTTTTTTGACAATGTTGTTAAAACAAGAGTTATCAACTTGTCATTAATAACAATAGGTGATATAATTTGGCAGAGAGTTTCTATGGGTTTTTAGAATCAGTTGCAAAGATAAGATGATCTCCATCTCTTATAACATCTACATCATCAATCTCTGCGTTGTTGTCTTTGCTTGTAACTTTGGCAGCAACAATACCAAACTTGTTGGAACCCAATTCTAGCAACTCCTTGAAACTCCCAGGAAGCAGCACCAGCTTCCCAGCTACCTCAGCTTTCTCTGCGCAACTAATTGTCACCCGCACCGGGTTTCCAGTTTTGCCTTCATCTACCGTAGCTAGCCCGTTCTTGGGTACGCTTTGATTTGCTAATATCCCAAACAACGAGTTATCGAAGTTGTTAGTTTTCCGTCTTGCCCTTGTTTCCCGAATCCTGAAAGACACTTCTCTCGATGCAGGACGGATGTTGGGTTCACTAGTGAATCTTCCGAGGAATCGGATCCCGGTTTTAAGTATAGGGACTGAAGAACTTGTCTCGATATGCACCCTCCTTTCATGTAACTTTTCTCGGAATAGAGCTTTAATATCCTCATGCCCTTGTTGCTCAGCAAGATCCCTCGGCGTCCAACCATGCATATCCTGTTTGTTAACGTCTGCACCTTGCTCCAGAAGATACTTTACCATCTCAATGTTCTCTTCACATACAGCAGTATGGAGTGCAGAGGTGCCTGTGGCTCTGGGACGGGTAACATCTCCTCCATGTAGAACAATTTCTTTTAATAGCTTCAAGTTCCCTTGCTCAGCCGCCGTGCAAGCAAAATGACCCACATCCCCTGCATCTATGGTACCGCCATGTTCTAACAGTACCTTTACAACTTTCTCATGCCCTTCCACCATTGCTTCCCACAATGGTACACTCCCTTCTGCGTCTGCATTTACATTTCGAAGAAACCAAGAAGCAAATAGTTCAGAAGAGATTACATTAATTCTAAAGGAAGTATCTGAATTGAACAAGCAAGTACCTCTACAATTGGGGTCTGCGTGGTACTCCAACAGAATAAGCACACAATTCAGACTTCCTTTTGATGCTGCTATATGCTGTTTCAAGACAAAAAGAAGAGATCAAAGTTATAGTCTCCAAGAGCTTGGATGGGAAGAAAATAACAGAACAAGAACGTGAACTTCACTGACCAGAGGTGTTCTGCCATTGTTATCCGATTCATTCGGATCAAGTCCTCTCTTTAGTAACTGATGTAAAAGCAAATCGTCTTCTCTTATTGCAGCAAAGCATAAATTGAGAGGAAGATCCATTTTACCACGTGCAAGCATGTTTTCTGTCTCCAGCAGAACATTCGTCATCACCGGATCATTCATTTCTTTCAAATACTGCTCTCCCCAAAGAAAGAGAGTGAGAACAAGTAAGTAATAGTTCATGATTCAAATTTTTCTGATTTCATATTTTGAAAACCTCAAAAGGATCTGTTTACTCACCTGAAGTAGATTATTCATGATTATGGTACCATCTCCAACATTGGCCTGAATAATATTCAAGAAAGTTGTACGGTTCATACGCAACAGTTGGCACAAACGTTTTGTCCTCACTGTAAACAGTTGTGGTCTGTAGCATAACACCCCTATCTCCCCTACAATGTCTCCAGCTTTAACCTCTTTCACAATCTGAAATTCTCCATAAAGTTCTCTTTTGTGAATTCTTAGTTACATCGTAACTCCAAGATCAGGGGTTTGGAGACAAAAGGAATAAACATAAAGTGAGAAACATCCACCAAGTGACCCGACTTACAGTTTCTGTTCCACTGTCTACATCCACCAAGTCCTGCATCATAACAGATATGTAATAGAAGTAAGTTAGTCTCACATTCATTTCATTTCTGTCATCTCAACAAAACTGTAGAGAAATTTGTAAATTTTTATTACCGCGGTACCGTTCACAAGGATGTAGAAGTCTGTTGGCGCTTCGTTCTGTAAGATAACATCTTCTTTTGGTGGGAAGTACTCAGCTTTCATTTCTGAGACCTGCAAAATGTACAGAACAATGGCAGCTTCATTTGTGTGTCGAAAATAGGAGATGAATGATGTTTTCACATGCATTTTGATTAGTATACCAGTTGAAAAAGCAGGTCATTGGATACTCCGCGAAACAGGTAGACCTTATCCATGAGGGAGTAGAATAGAAAGTGTGATATACTCGATCTAATGGCTTTTGGGAGTGCATCGAGCGTTTCTTGCTGTTGTAGCCCCTCAGAGTCAGTCCGATATTTCAAACATAAATGTGCAAGCATTTGATCTTGCAGACGAGGCGGTAAATGGTTTCTATGAGCAAAATTAGAAGCAGCTTGGATTGTATCTCTCTGGAAAAAGAGAACAAAGTTTTTTAACCGAGGCAGATATGCATCATAGATTGAATAAGGTGATGAAGATGCTAACTTACAAAATTTCTAGTCCGACTTGTTCCATGGACTACCAGATTGGTCATGTTACCAATCAAGTATGCGGTTAATCCGAGGTTGAAGAGCATATAGAAGATATCAAATATCATCTCCTTTGTGTTCACAGGATGCAGATCACCATAACCAACAGTGGTTAGAGTAGTAATGGACCAATACATGGAAGTCACATATCGCATCCACAAGCTTTCCTCTAGGAAATTTTCAATGGATGCTCCAATCCAGGTCTTTGCTGGGTCATGATTCCGCGCTGCAATAAGGTAATAGAAACATGCAGCACAATGAACCGCGAAAAGGGTAACCTGCAAAAAAGCTCTGGTTGGTTAGTATTTACACTAGTACTACCTTGAGAGTGTAGTCTAAATAAAGGTAAACATTATAAGAATGCAAAACATTTTGAAGTTCTTACACAAACGAGTTTTGCGCATCGGACCCAAAAGTAGTTAAAGTTGCGGTCTTTCTCTAGTCTGTTAAAAGGAGAATGTCAAGATTTAGAGAAAATAATAGAAGAAAGAAAAAGTTTAGTGATCCTAACCTGGCAAACAAGGCACTGACTCTGCGAAGACGCCAAAGACGAAGCATGTTAAACAATCCATAAGACTGAGATGAGATTCTCATAGCAGCCTCTGAGGGGATGGTTGAAACAAGATCAAGAAGGAACCAAGAACGCAAGTACTTAAATGCAATCTGTTTACGGTCATCAACAATGAGGTAAGTCGATTTATCGAGGTAACCCACAAAGAATGTCATGATGATATCGATAGCGAAGAATGCGTTCACAATGTTATCGGTGATAGAGAGTGGTGGCCTTGGCTTTCTCAAGAACCCAAACTCAAAAGGCGAAACCCAAGCTGTGTAAACCACAAGAACCACTAGGAAAGCCTCCCATATCCTGTAGTCAATACTTTCATTTTAGTCCTATTCAATAATCCTCATTTCAGAAATTATCATTACACATTTTTTACATGTAGTTGAACATATCTCCCAAGTCCCAATGTCTCATATTTTTCAGCACTTTGGGTTTCAATAGTATGTTACTCCCTCCGTTTCACAAAGAGTGTCATTTTGACACATTTCACACCAATTAAGAAAACCTTGAGTTATACATGTATGCCCATATTTAATAAGTGATTAATGATTTAAATTCAATGAGAATTAGCTTCAAGAAGGGTAAATCTAGAAATTTTGTGTAAAATTCACATTGAAAATATAGAATGACATTTTTTGTGAAACAAAAATAAAACTCTAGAATAACACTTTTTGTGAAACAAAGGAAGTACTATTTATTAGATCACGCTATTGACGATACAACAACCACGAAAAGTTTCCTACTTTTTTTTGTCAAAAAAAAAGTTTTCTACTTTTGGTTATAATAATTTAGTGTCAGATTTGAATCAATCGTAGAAATCAAGATATGAGCGGCTTTTAAGCTAATTAGCCAACTAGAGTAATAATGGAAGCCTTGAATATTCTACATTTGTCTTCGCATTTATAGATCTTCTTTTTTGAATATTAGGAACGATAGGGAACTATGATTTGAATATTCCAAATGTTGAATAAAAAGAGAGCTTTAGCCTAAAGCCTTCAGTTGTCGGTAACTAAAAATTAACCCAAAAAATGATATATATATATATATATATATAATAATAATAATAATAATAATAATAATAATAATAAAGTTAATTAGATAGCGTTAAAAAAAAAGAAAGGTAGTTAGATAGATAGTATTTTATTTTCTAATGTTATACTGTATTTGTAAATAACCCAAGTGAAAAACGTGAAATAAGAGGAAACCAACTTTTAGTGTTATTTGACCAAAATAGCATTTTTTCTTTGCACGCAATTTTTGTTATTTTATGAAATAACGCGAAATAATATGAACGGTAACATATTTTCAAATAAAATTGTCTGATATAAGATCAGATAACAAGTTATAATGTTTGTTTAAAACCACATGCATGAAACTCTTAATAATGAGGGAAAACTTGTAATCTTACCAAATAGTGAATTTACCTAATTCATAGAAAATAAGGTTAGTTAATCTTTTGCACCAAAAAAAAATGTTAGTTAATCTAGTGCATATACTATATACTATATACCCATGATAAATTACAAAAGTTGATCACCAACCAAAATACTTTTTTATACATATTGGGAATTTTCTCTTAAAGATTTTTTATTTCATTAAAAAAAATAGTAGAAAACTTGCTAAATATGATCCTAAAGCAGAATTATTTTCGTGTTTCCAAATTCCGATCCTCGTAAATCAAAGAATAAGAAGAATATAGTTGAAGAATCAAGTTCAAATCGTAAGTACTTAGAGGGGGCACCGGGGCAGGTGCGTTCTTAGCTCTTGAAAACAAAGAAAAAAAAACAAGAGATGGTAAAAAACCAAGACCTGTATTTGTGATCATAAGGAGATACAACGAATCTCCGAAGCTTAACTCGTCGATTACTTCTTGCCCCAAGTGAAGGCAAAATTCCAGTAGAAAGACTAAAATGACTACTCTCTCTTGAAAGCTGTTCAATCTCATCTTGGTCTTGTCCACATAACAAAGCCCCTCTTCTCATCACCGACGTTTTTTTCTTGGCTTCCTCCTTGATGGTTCTTGGTTTTTTTTTCTTTTGGTTTCGGCAAAAGAGGCAAAATAAGCAGCTTAACTCTTGGCTTTATTACGGGTGTGTCATTTCTGACTTTTGGATCCCTTCACTTTCAAGGAATTAAGTTTTCTCTCTGCATCACTGTGTGGTTGGACCCACTATCACGTCTTAACCCCTACTATAGCATTAATGGTGGCTTCTCCATTTCAAGATAAAATAAAATATCCTTCTTGCTCATAAATAGTTGTATTTAGAGAAGAAAAACAAAATTAGACCGAAGATGAAGAGTTGACCAAAAAATTTATACATCAGAGCATGATCTCAATTTTTTCAATCATTATACTTACTATTTATATTGTTTGTTTGACTTCTAACTAAAGAAAAAAAAAACTACATATAGAGATGTAGGACACGACTTAAATTTTTTGTTAAATATTTTAGGTGATAGATGATATAATATTTTTAGGCTCATTTGTTAAAATGGTAAGAAAATTTTAAAGGGTAATTTGCAGGCCAGGGCAGAAGACCAAGTTTTATTTTCACGGTTTGGCAAAGTGGGCGTGAGTTCTCATGGATTAGCAATTAAGACAAATTCAGACCAAAATACCCCTGTTTTTGTAACAGATGAACGATGACGTGTACGATTTAGTTAAGCGCTTTAGTTAGACACATTGTTTAGTTAGAAAGAGTTTGTTAGTTTTTTATTTGTCTTACTATAGTGCAAACTAATTTAAAAAGATGTTGTGGGACAAAAGCTTTAAATGCTAAAAAAACAAGACAAGACTATTATCCACTATAATTAAGGCAAACTCATCATTACTTCTCTAATATTTACGTACATATGAAGTAATTTGAGAGATAAAATTAAAAAAAAAACTAACAAACTCTTATGAACGAAGGTGATAGCAGAGAAGTTTTGATTTTTATGTTTAAAAAACTTTGAAGCGAGATAAACGTTGATTTATTTAGGGCCTGACTGGTTTAAACGCAGCGGGTGCGGTTGCGTCTGCGGGAGTTTGCGGAAGCGGACGGTTACGGTTTCAAGCGTTATGATGTATTTTGAAAGACTGGTTAAGCGGTTGAAAATTGGTGCGTTTGCGGGAGTTTTATGACTGGTTAACCAGCGGATGCGACAACGGTTAAATCGAAAATGATCAAAAGAAATATAATTTATAATTATATAATAAAGTATAAAAACACCAAATATTTATATTATTATGATAAAATACAAAACAATTTATATATAATTAATAATAATAAAAATATATAAAATTACTACATAATTAAAATAATATATTTCATAGTTAAGTGCTTATTACTTCATGCATTTGGTTCATAAAAAAACAGCATCAAGTAATATAACAAATTACAATTAAAATAATATGACAAACTAAAAAAATAGATTTTTTTTTTTATTTTTTATTTTTAAAAAATAGATGTTTTGAATTCTTAGATCCTCTGGATTAATAATTTTATTACAATACTTTGTTTGTATTTTGTGCTTCTTGAGTTTAGATTAACGCCATAATTTTGGTAAATAGAAAAAAATTAGGGTTTTGAGAACTAACGTTAATATATATAGGGTTTGATAATTTTTTAAAAAATTTCTTTTTCAGCTTTTTTTTTTAAAATTTATTTGTTATTTATGTATTTTTAATATATATATATATATAGGATTTGAATTAAAAAAAAATTTTGCCAACCACTACCGCCCGCAACCGCAAACGCTTGTGGGAAGGAGCTTTTGAATTCAGCGGTTCGGAGCGGTCTAGAGCGGTTCGGAGCGGTATAAAACGTTTTTTATGATTGGTTTTAAACGCTAGCAACCGCAACCGCCCGCAAACGCTGCGTTTGCGGGCGGTAGCGGGAGAACCAATCAAGCCCTTAAGCAGTCTTATGCTATTACATACACTTGGATTTTGCTTTCTAAGAAAACAACATTGTTTTGGATTTAAAAATCTAAAACAATGCTAAATAAGGATATATTTTTTTTTGGTAATAAAATAAGGATATATTTATGTTTATAAAGTGTGTACAGTAAAACCTCTATAAATTGATAATGTTGGGACCGCAAAATGTTATTAATTTATAGAGGTATTAATTTATGGGAAATTGTTAAAAATACCCCTTTTGGTGTGCCCCTTTTCAAAAATGTCTCTTTTATATGTCCATTTTCAAAAATGCCCCTTTTTAAATCTGAAATTTTTATAAAGTTTTATTAGGTTTATAAGGTACTTATGGATTATAACTACTACTTGAAGACTCGATCCAAGTATTTATAAGATTTTATAAGGTGTTTTTAAAGGTTTTACAAGTTATTTTAAAGGATTTTTAAGGTTTTTCAAAGGTTTTACAAGATATTTTAAAGGTTTTTAAAGGTATTTAAAATGCATTTATAAGGTATTTATAAAGTATTTATAAGATTTTAGATACATAGAAATGTAGTTTGTGTATGTTACATACATATTTGGGTAAATCTTATATTTTTAAGAGCATTTTTATAAGGTTTTAAAAAAGGGGTATTTTTGAAAAGTGGCATTGAAAAAGTGGCATTTTTGCAAAAGCCCCTTAATTTATAGAGATTTTTTAACTTTTTAATATTTTATGAAAATATAAGATTTTCTTCATAATAGAAAATATCTTTTTAGAACCAATTATAAGTAAAAAATAATTATTATGTCTACAAAACGACACCAAAAATTATTGATACAGTAAAAATATTAGAATTAAATTCAAACAAGAACTAATGCGAATTTAAGCAAAAAAAAAAAGCCAATACAAGAATTATATTTCATAGAAGTTTCTTACATAATATATATATAGTTGATATATTTATACAATTATTAACTAGATCATCACCCGTACTTTAGTACGGGTTGAATTTTATTTATTACAAAATTTATATAATATATATATTAGAACTAAGTTTTAATATATTAGAATAGTAAGTGAAAAAATATTAATTTTTTTGTTCTAAAATAACATTTTTGTAATGACATTCTTAAGTAATTTTTTACAAAAGGGAAGGTTAGTTAAGGGTATCTTATAAAGTGTACTCCCCAAATAATAGTATAGGATTTATGATATTAACAGGATCATATGTTTACATAGAATTTTTTTAAAAATATATTCTCTTATTAATTTATCGAGTATTAATTTATAGAGGTTTTATGTAGTTGGAATTCTTTTGTTTTTGTAGATATAAATGATGTTTTCTGTTGCATTTAATGAGGTTCTAATGAATTCATGATGCTGGAGGTTAATGGATATTCTTGTATTTATTATGGTTGATGAGTGGAGATTCAAAGAAGAAGAATGGACCAGAGGAAGCAAGGTTTGGTCGGTGTGTACGTGTTAAGAAAAACATGACGTACACGGAATTTGCATGTACATTATGTGAGGTTTTCAATTTAAAGTCTACTGAATGCAATCCTATAATTAGTTACATGATGCCAGGAAAGATCTCAATGATGATAGAAAGTAAACGCTCTCCTATCTACATTGACAATCAAATGAGCCTAATTTTCTTTTTTGATTCGTGGTGGAGATTCTAGTGTCAACTTGTTTGTGTCTTTTAGTGCAACCGTCAAGGCAGGCGAGAATATTGTGTCTAGGATGGATGGCCACGATACTGAAAGTGACCATGTGTTGGGGAATGAAAACACACCAAAAGCTATTGTAGAGGCTTCAAATGTGGATCCAAATAATGAGGCCGTAGATGAGCAAAACGACGTCGAGGACGATAAAACAGATGAGGATGAAGAGGATGAGGACAACGAAGAGGCTGATGGGTATGATGATCATCACAGCGACGATGGATCTCTGGGGGGAAGTACCCTCGATCCTACTATAGATAGTAGTGAAGGTAGTGTCATTCACACTCAACAGACTATGGAACATCCAGGAGAATTCAGTCGTCTATGGCAGAGTGTACGTACACAAGTCAGCGTGTACCTAAGGGAGAAAACATTTCTCATTTGGATGAAAGTACACCAACCGGGACTCCAACCCGTAAGGGTCGACATGGTTTGTACCAATATGGTAGTGGTAGTGTCGAAGATTACATTACAACGAGTGGACTGATTTTGGTGTTGAGAAATATGGGATATGACATGTCGGAAATGTTGGTGACACTCAACTTACTATGAGGCTAACATGAAAGATTCAATTAATTATTAGAAACGTGTACGTATACTAATTAACATGTACGTAATTGATAAAATATCGATCATTTTGGAAAGAATGATGACATTCAACCATTTGTGAGTCATAACCAGGAGATCAGACATGATTTATGGAAGAATGTACGTACATTACTAACTATGTACACAAGAAAGTATCTGACGGTAAATGCTTGACGTCCACAAATGCAAATTGGCATGGTAGATGTAAGTGAATGGTAATTGTGTGGATTTTGCTCTAGTCTTCGATGATTTAGTAAATGCTCTAGTTGATGAGATAAAAGTATAAATTAGTATGACAAGAGAGACATTGTTTGTTGGGAGTGTATTTAGAAAAAAAAAATCAAATAACAATGGCTTCATCTCTAGTAGGAGCATCATAGAATACATTACCGCCGTCGCCAATATTAGTTTATTATTTTATTAATAAATTTATCTTAACAAATTTAACTCATCGACAAAGATGTTTGTTCATTATTACACGTGTACGTACATAATTTTTTTTTTTTGAAAAATATGAAGAACTAATATTCTTTGACCATATATTTTTTAGTTATTATATATGCATGTATTTATTTTATTGAGATATACAAATAAGTAACAAAATGGCTTGATTTTGAAGTCAAATCATATAATTTTTAATTTTTTTGTAGAAGGTGGTTAGAGATTTATTACAAGTCAGCGTGTACTTGACGGAGAAAACATTTCTTATTTGGGTGACATTGCACCAACCGTGACTCCAACCCGTAAGTGTCGACATAGTTTGTACTTTGTACCAATGTACGTATACTAGAGAATGTGTACTAGATACATGATGCGAAGGTGATTTTGTTACGTACATGGATACCAATATTAATGGTA